ACATCATCATCATTATCATCATCATTTAGTAAGATATTATCATGATTATCATCACACCTTATCTCATATGATTTTCATCATTCTCTTCATGGGAAACATGCAACTCTCAATGGCCACACGCATTAGTTTTAAAATAATAGGATGATGATGATTATTATCATGAAGATATTAAGATGATGATGAAGATGATGTTGATCCTGAAAGTGGTGATCATCATCATCATCTCTCTGCCTCACTGACACCACATCTCAACAGGGTGTCCTAAATGATCCTCATATCATCTGATATCGACGAGTTCTAAACAAAGAAGAAACTTTTCTTTTAATATTTATTTCTTTCCCTTTCTTGTATCTCTCTCTTTTAATCTCTCTCACACTTAGAGAGTCACTTTTCCATCCTCATCATTTCCTGTTCCGATTATTACTTGTCTCCTACTCCTCCCATTTTGGATTATCTTTTCCATTTGTTACTCTAACTGTCACAAACCATGTCGAAAGTTAATCTCTTTCAGCATTTTGTTAATTTTCGAGTTTTTTTCTTCTTCAACTTCTTATTCCATTGAAACCAATTATAACTATTGTAATTATCATCATTGTCGTCTTATCATCACAGTAATTAAGTTTTTAAATTAGTTAAAAAAAGTTAAACACTATAATTGCCTCAATTTACAGATTCGAGGAGAAAAAAAGTTCTAATAAGATTATGAACACGACAAAACGGGTCGACCTTTAGGCTAACTGACCTTTCACTTTGACTGACCCTTAGCGTTTCATTTTGTAATTTAATTGTAACAAAGTTTCTTAAATTGTGATTAATTGTTTTGCCTTTTTGTTTGTTTGTTTGTTTTTCATTCACCGATAAATCAATTGATTGCAATTAACAACACAATCATTGGATTAACATTAATCATTATTCACTTTGTACTTTTTTATCATTATCATTATGGTCAAGTGAATGGTCAGTTGTGGTGAAAATTGTTTCAATGGTAAAAGATTTAAAACTAATTGTACTTCAATTTGTCCAATTGATTTTTACCCAAGTTGATTAACCTGTTGATTGTTTCAAGGATTGATCATCCTAATTGTAATTTGATTAACTCGATGCCACACTTTGCAATTTAATCAGTTACATTATCTTTAGATGTCAAATTTTACCAATGTAATTGAAATGTGATCCTTAATTTCAATGATTTAAATTGCAAATTACAATAATTATTAATATATATATATAAATTGCAATTAACTTTGATTATCATGTTGTTGTGGTTCTGATGACAATCTTGTTAATTAGTAGCAATGATTTTGTTTTTGCTGCTCATTTCTTGATTTAATTTAATTGCAAAGGAAGCAAGAGCAAAAATCAACAGGTAAATTAAAACCTAAGGTTAATTGAAAACTCAGATAATCAAATGAAAAAAAATCTCACTAATCAAAACCTTCAGAGGATTAAGATAAATCATCTTAATCATTAATCAGATTCAAAGGTAATCAAATGAGAAACCCAAATGATTAGTTAAACTAATTCAAGTTACATATCATATTTTTGTTGACAGAATTAACTTTTTTTTTCTTGCAAAATTAAACATAATTAATATTAAATTTTATCGTAATTAATAGTTGATAAATGAGTACAATGATTAGTATGGACAACAATTTAATCTCAATCTCATCTAAAACAATTTAAAACATTGATTGTAATCAATTGAAAATGTTACAATTTGTTGATGATAAACTTTTTCCATTCGCGACTTTTGTTGATTGTTACAACTTATTAGAATTAGATTTGATTTGATTTTCATGTTTATCGTAATTTGATATTAATCAACTAATTAATTATGCAAGAATTTTCAACAATTCTAATTAAAATCAATCATTAATCAACTATAAATATATTTAATTTTGCTTTTTTAAATACTTTTAATAAGTTAATCCTATTAGGAAAAGGAAACTTTTTTTTACCTCAAAAATTAATTAACCATCAAAGTGATTAACATTTAATTTAGTGGATTAAGATTGTGATTGTGTCAATTTAAAGGTATTTAAACTGATATCTAAAGATTTTAGCAATTTAGTAAGTTAATTAACTGCATTGATTAACAATTTCCAAGCTAATTGTTAATTATTATTATGCAAATCCAACAAAATTAAAAAATTTATGATCAATATTGTTCATTATCAGATGTTAATTACCATTAATTGTTACCAATGATTAGTTGATCAATTGAGAAGGAGATATTTACAATCAATATATTTAATTGATCACAAATAGTAATTGTAATTAATGAAGTAATTAAATCATCAAATCAGATGATTTTCCTCCTCTTTTAATCATTACTATTAATCTAATTGTTATGACCAAAGGTAAAGTCGTACGTTAATATAACGTGTTAATAGTTAATTAAATGATAACCATTAACAATTAACTCACCGATAATTATATACAACTATCTAATCTCAAATTAATGGTCTTAATTAGTACTTTAAATATATTGAATATATCATCTTTGTTTGTTTTTACACTTAATTGTATGTTAATTGTTGTTGAAGATTAACAATTAACAATCAAGGGAAAAATATTTCCTATTCCAGTTAATTGAAAGGTAATCAAGAAACTAAATTTGTTTGCTAATAATTTATTTCAATTGATGATTGTGGTAACAATTTAACTCCCAATTGATATATAATAATAATGACGCTGTTAAATTGTGATAACAATTTAATAGATTAATCATCAAATTTGGATTTGCGGTTGGGTGAAAAAAAAGTAAACAATTTAAGTCAATTACTGGCCCATGTTAATGGCCCTTAATCAAATAGTAACTACATTTGGATAATTGTCCGAATCAAATTGTATTTCAATTGATTGTTGAATTAAATTATTCAATTCTCGTTTAAAATTAAAACTAATAAATGATAATACAAATTAAATCAAATATCTCACCTTATTATTATCATCGTCATTTTAAATAATCAAAGGTAATCAAAGTTTTTTTACTCCATGATTAAAATAAATCGTTACAATTTATGAATATTAACTTGATTGTGATTCATTGATAAATACAAATTTCTGGCCAATTAAATTAATAGTGAATGAAATTAGCTAAATTGTGATTATCTTTTCACTTTTGTAGCGTGTTAGTTTATGGTTTAGTGTAAAGGTGAAAACTTTTTTTTCTTTGATTGTTGATTGTTGATCGTTGATTGTTGATGATTAAATAGGATATTTTATCTTATTAGTTTCATTATCATCATTTACGTGACTGATTTATCCTGATGATTTACTAACAATCAATGGTGATAACCCTTCATATTAACTGGTCCATTAAACTCCTTTAATCATCATCCATGTTATCATTAAATTGTTTGCTAATCATTTTTTTCAGTTTAAATTGTTGATAAAAACTTTTTGATTGTTTGTTTTGTTTTGCTCGTTTTTTTCATCATCATGATTTAAGTTAACAATTTGATCAATAATTTGATTTTTTTTTCGTATTTGCTACCTTTTGTTGTTACTATTCCTATGATTATCTGTTGATTGTTGTCGCTAAATTGTTATTATTATTAACAATTTGTACTAAGTTAATCAGTTTTTGATTGAACACTTAATCAAATAACCAAACATGTTCATCTTTTTTTTTCTTCATCACTATTAATTGCTTGGTAATTGGAATTGAACATTATCAACATGATATACTTTGATTGTTAGACAAATTGCTAAGTTGGTGCTTTTTATTGTTGCTAATTTGATCATCGATTAGTTAACAATTTAGTTGAACAGTTGATTATTCAATTGAATGGTTTTCCTTTCATCATATTTAAAGTCTCCTCATGATTATAAGTGATTAAGTCACTCAAATTTATTCATTCATTTCTGGGAAATTCAGTGTTTATTTTTACATCTCTTAATTGTTAATCAAACTTTTCCAAATCAAATTAAAACTAATTAAAATCAATTGATTGAGTGTTAACAACGCAACAAATGGCTCCATCTACTGAGAGTAGCAATCAACTTGCTAACATTAATTTCTTGAGGAAAACTAAATTGAAAGTTAATTAACTTAATGATCAACAATTGAATCACTGATCAATCAGGTTAGAGTGAAAGTAAATTGTATCAAATTTAAATCAATTATTGATCATCTCGATGACGAAATGTTTGTTTAGTTTGTGAGGAGATCAACTTCTCTCCCCTGATTGTAACCATTTACAATCAACAATCATCACCAACACACAATCAACAATAACAATTGGTTGATGATGATGATTGTTGATTGCTCAACATTGTGTTGTAATCATCATCATCACCTTACCCTGACCCAACTGACCATTGGTCAGAGATAAGATGATGATGATGAAAAGACTCACTCTAAATTTTGTATATAAGCAGAGACAAAATGAAATTAAAATTATGTTTACTTTGAGATCTTCTCTTGTCTACATCTCTCTCTCAAACTTTGGTTTCTTAGCTTTTACTTTGTAAAAGCTGATCAAAGTTTTCCCTCTCCTCTCTTACTCTCTCTCTCTCTCTCTCTAAGGTACTCGAACCCCGATACCGTCACATTTGGCGCAGTCGTTGCTCTGATCGAACCGATCTTCCGCTACTTGGCCTCTACCTCCGTGGTTTCTCTGTTTGTGGCTCCCTTTTGGTGGCGCTCTTTTTGTGGCTCTTTTCTGTGGCTTATCTGCTCTCCTTGTTGTCTCTACTTGTCGGCACTACTTTTATCGTCCTTGTTGGTCTCATTGGTCTTGACTCTTCCTTCAGTCATTCTTGGCCATCTCGTGGTAATCAACTGATCTTGGTGATCCTTCCTGTCTCTGGATAAGCTCTTAAAACATAGAACTGCATCTATCTCTCCTTTATTGTAATCTCTCATTTTCTTGCTCTGATCCATTGTTGTATCATCACCACTTGATCTTTTGTTGTTACCACCACCTACCGATTGACTTTTCTTATCCATTCACCTTCCTATCTGTCTTGAGTCTCCTTTCCTTGTAGATTACATGTCAGGAACGATTGTATCTCTTGATCCAAAGTCTTCTTCTTGCTCTGAGTTGACTCCTACCCCGATAATTGTAGATCCGTCCGCTCCTCTCACTGACCAGCCATCCGTTACTCCTATTGTAGATCCTTCTGATCCTATTAGTGATCCTCCATCCGTTACTTGTATTGTAGATCCTTCTAGTCCTATTACTGATCCGCCATCCGTTACTCCTATTGTAGATCCATCTCCCACCGTCCAACCAGTCCATAAGACTATTGTAAGCTCCACCCGCTCTGATTCCACTCTCGATTCGTCCAAAATCACCTCTTCGTCTGCAACAGCCTCAACCGACTCCAACCGCAAGTCCCGCCGTCAACTTGCTAACGCCCGTCGTAAAGCTGCAAGGCAGAAAGAGATTGAGGCTAATCGAATAACTGGTGAACAATCAGCTCGTCAATCAGCTCATCTTGCCAGTAAAGCTCGTCAGCTGTCTCGAAAAGCTTGTCACCAATTTAAATCCGCTTTAACTGCTGCTGGTGAAGCTGATAAAGTAGCTAAGTCAGCCAAACCATCCGATTTTTCGTCCAGCCGCCACTTTAAACAATTTAAGAACCAGCATCCAACTCGTCAAGCATCCAAGGAACTTCTTGATCTTGCTACGACCACAGCCACCAAAGCTATCCAATTATCAGCCGCCTCTAAATCCAAATCGTCCGATCCAATTATCCCATTACCATCTCCTTGTCAAGGTCTTGATCATATCCACCGCCGTCTTTTCTAAATCTTCCGTCCATTTTTTTTTCTCTCCGATTAATCTTCTCTTGGGTTTCTCCTCTTGATTAACTTTTCCTCCGTCCGTTTGATTGTTATTTTTCTTTTTCTTTAATTTTCTCCAAATAAACCGAGTTTTTGTATGAATACACGTCTTCAACTAAGAATGGCCGCCGAGAAAAATACGTCCACGTTAGACAGCAATTTCCTCAAGTTTGACGGAAATAGTAATGAAGTCCGTATCCAGTCCTGGCTCAAAGTATTCGAACTGCATACCCATGGTTGTACTGATGAGATTCGAATACAAAGACTCATGTATTGTCTCAAGGGTGATGCATTTGAATGGTTCGCTGAGGAAATAGCAGGTTCTGCCATTTCCAGATGGAGTACAGTCTCTGAGCGTATGATTAAACGTTTTGGTGTCTCCACTGCTCAGCCGTTAATCCAAGCCCAGCGCTTGCATCTAAAACAGGGGGAAACAGTAGAAAGTTACTTCAAAGCTAAAACGAAGTTACTTAAACAAACAAAACTTTCTACTAAGGAGATTTGTGAACAACTTACCGAAGGTTTACCTAAAGAATGGAAGATTCATCTCTTTACTCTTGATGCTTCTGACCTTGATACCTGGTTCAATAAAGTTCAAGAACTAGAACTTCTAATGAATAGATCTCGACCTTCATCATCCAATTACAAACCGAAAACTTTTACAATCAAACAAAAACAGAGAAACTCACCCGATTTTAAACCTTTTAACCCTTCTAATCAAAATAATTATACACAAAATCAATCTACTAATTTTACAAATAACTCTTTTACAAAAAATTCAGCTTCTTTGTCTCGACATCACATGACAAATCCTGGTAACAATCGTCCATCAACTCCATGTCGTTATTGCATCGAAAATGGACAAACAGTTTATCATTGGCATCGTGAATGTCCAAATCGTCCTTCGTCATCTACAAGCACAACTATGGTTATGAACGAAAGATCCGTTGTACCAACTGCAACTGAAACATCACCTTACCAATCACCATCGCAATATGTCAATTCACAAGACTCCGCTCCTCCAGTCACTCTACACACGAGTCTAGGTCCGGTCTTTAAATTGATTGACGCTCCTGTGATAATAAATGGTAATCCGGTCAAAGCTTTCATTGACAGTGGGTCAACTCTTTCTCTGATGAACTCCAAGCTTCTTCAGAAACTGAACCTCGAGTTGACTTCGAACAAGTCACTTGCCATAGGTCAGGCCATTGGGGCTTTTAGAACATTAGGTTTCGTCTCTACTCCGGTCACTCTGTACAATAAAACGGTTATGCTTGATCTTCACGTCGTCGATGGTTTTGAGTATCCAGTCCTCCTTGGTCTCGATGCTGGATATAAGTTTGCTATCAAGCTCGATCTTGCTCGTCGGGTTGTTACCATTCCATCAACCAATCTCCACGTCACTGTAACCCTTAACACCAAAGTAGATCATCATGAACAAATTACAGAGTTTTTACGTCTTAATAAAGACATCTTTGCTCAGAATGATACCGATATTGGTCGTATCTCGGTTGCCAAACACCAAATCACTACTGTTCCGCATCCACCTATTCAGCTTCGAGCTTATCGTCGTCCTCAATCCGAGTATGATGAAATTCATCGTCAGGTCCAAGATCTGAAAGAAAAAGGTCTTATTCGAGACTCTGATAGTCCATGGGCGTTTCCTGTCACTTTGGTGAAGAAGAAAGATGGTAGCACACGTATGTGTATTGACTATCGTCGACTTAACTCTATCACCATCGATGATAAAATGCCACTTCCTCGCATCGATGATATCTTGGATCGTCTTCGTCATGCCAAGTATTTTACTACTCTTGATGTCGCCTGGGGTTATTGGCACATTGAGATGGATTCCGATTCCGTCCGTAAAACTGCTTTTGTCACACATGAAGGTCATTATGAATGGCTCGTAATGCCCTTTGGTCTTAAAAATGCTCCCGCTACGTTCCAACGTATTCTCCAGCTCGTCCTTGGCTCCACTCTCTATAATGGTGCAATCAATTACCTTGATGATGTCATCATATACAGTGAAACCATTGACCAACATCTCGCACTTTTAAAGATCATCTTTGACAAATTCAGAATGCATAACATCAAGCTCAAATCACCAAAATGTAACTTCCTTAAGACACAAGTTGAATACTTGGGTTACCTCATCAGTTTTAATCAAGTCGAACCATCTCCATCGAAAATTGAAGCTGTTAAGTCATTTCCGGTACCAAACTCGGTAACTGAAGTCCGTCGCTTCCTTGGTCTCTCCAACTACTATCGCCGTTTCATCCCGAACTTCGCCAAAATTACCGAGCCTCTTACGAAACTTCTACGTAAGGACACTTCGTTCCATTGGTCCAATGATCAGCAATCCGCTTTTAACACCCTCACATCGGCTCTTACCTCCAAACCAGTACTTGCTCTTTATGATAAAGATAAATCTTGTATTTTATACACTGATGCATCTAAAATAGGCATTGGTGCAACCTTAGCACAGAAAGGTGATGATGGTATTGAACATCCCATCGCTTACTATTCTAAAGCTCTTAACAAACACGAATCCAATTACATGGCATTCGAACTAGAATGCTTAGCTGTAATCCGTGCTGTTCGTCACTTCGAAGTTTATCTTGGTCTTCCATTCACTGTTGTTACCGATCACAATGCTCTACGTTGGCTTTTCTCTGTCAAAGAACCCATTGGTAAAATCCATCGTTGGTCTTGTAAGTTGTCGACCTACACGTATGACATTGTCCATCGCCCTGGAAAGAATCAACAACACGTTGATGCCCTTTCTCGCGCTCCAGTAACACTCCATCTTCAGCCCAATGAGTTGATCCAACATCAACAGTCTTCTGACCTCTCTTACGTCAAGAATCCGATCCAAAGTGATGGTCTTATTATGATAAAATCCAATCATAAACTCCGTGCCGTCGTACCTGAATCATTACGTCCTCAAATTTTAACTGATCTCCATGATAATTTTAGCCATCCTGGTCGAAATAAAACCGTCCAGCTCATCACTAATCATTATTGGTGGCCTAATATCATCCATGACATCAAAATGCATGTCGCTTCTTGTCGGACTTGCCAATTGTCAAAACACGATCGTCGTCCCACAATTGGTCAAATGCAACTTCCATCAGCAAAATTAGAACCTGGTGATCTTATCGGTGTAGATACCATTGTTATGGGTACTGCTGCTAGATCATCGAAGCACCAGTACGTACAAGTATTTATCGATCACGCATCTCGATACGTTTGGGCCTTTCCAACCACCAGAAACACCGCATCTTGTATCACCACATTAATAGACAAACTAGTTGCATCCGGTATCACTATTAAATCCATTTTAACCGACAATCATAAGAATTTTAAAAATAAAGAGATCACTCGCTGTCTTAATCGTCATCACATTAAGCAGTATCTTTCAACACCTTACCATCCTCAAACCAACGGCATTGTTGAACGATTCAATGGCACCATCATCACTAAACTCCGTTCCGTTCTTCTTGACCATCCAAAACGTAAATGGAATACTCTTTTAACCAAGGTCGTCCATGATTATAACCATACACCGCATGACGTTACCACTTTTACTCCATCATTTTTATTCTTTGGAAAAGACGATCATCCAAATTTTAACGGCAAATCCATTGACCTGGAAACCGCTAGGAAACAGGCACAAATTAAAACAGAACAGCACCAAAAGAAAAGAAAAGAAAGACATGATTCCATCCATCCCGAGTCCAATTTCCAAATTGGCGATCTTGTCCGTAGGGTTATCCCATCCAATCACCCAACTGTTATAAAAACTTCCCCTAAATTTACTGGTCCATATTTTATCATATCCAAACACTCCGATAACACATATGATATTTCTGAAACCTTAACTGGCCCCACCTGTCGGGCACATTCCTCACAACTTCGCTTATTTGTTGAAAGACAACAAATGTCTTAAGCGCGGGCGAATGTGAGGAGATCAACTTCTCTCCCCTGATTGTAACCATTTACAATCAACAATCATCACCAACACACAATCAACAATAACAATTGGTTGATGATGATGATTGTTGATTGCTCAACATTGTGTTGTAATCATCATCATCACCTTACCCTGACCCAACTGACCATTGGTCAGAGATAAGATGATGATGATGAAAAGACTCACTCTAAATTTTGTATATAAGCAGAGACAAAATGAAATTAAAATTATGTTTACTTTGAGATCTTCTCTTGTCTACATCTCTCTCTCAAACTTTGGTTTCTTAGCTTTTACTTTGTAAAAGCTGATCAAAGTTTTCCCTCTCCTCTCTTACTCTTTCTCTCTCTCTTTCTCTCTCTCTCTAAGGTACTCGAACCCCGATACCGTCACAAGTTAATTTGAATGAATTGTGAAATTATCATGACCTTTTTTTTATTATTCTGGTTAATCATTCATTAAGTTTGTTAGTAATTAACTTTTCCGTTTTAGAACCAATTTGAGTTTAATTGTCACAATTAGTTGATAGCAGGAAAAAAAAGACGAAAAAAAATTAAATTTAACTAATATCATTAACGACGATGAAATCAAATGCAAACAATTAACACCCTGAGTATAACAATCAACTAATTACTATTATTATGATTTAACAAATTGTGAAACTTTCTTGTTGATCAGCATATCAAAATTTAATCACAATTAGTTTATTATCATTATCACTAATCATTAAGGTGATCAAGATGATTATTTAAATTGCTGTTCTGGGATTTTTGAGTCACAACAATTAAAATAATTTATCTCAAAGGTAAAAACCAATCGATGGGAATTTTTTTCATTATTATTAATCAATTGAATTAAATTAAATTTTCATGATGAAAATATTAAATTCTAACCATAATTACATAACAATTAACTGATTACAAGTTTTGGAAAAGTTAATTTTCTTGTTAATAACTTTTTTCACCATTAAAACTTTTGACCAAAGTTAATTGTTGTCGAAAGGTAAGTTAATTGTAAACACTAATTGTATTATTCAAATTAATCTGTCACAATGAAAGATTTAAGTGAAAGTGATTAATTTTTGATTTATGATCAACAATTAACAGACAAAGTTAAGTTACTTTGATTTGGTTAAACTTAATCCCGACAGTTAATTGTATTCAGATTAATCAACAATCAACCGTGATAATTATTTCATATCAATCATTAATTTTTTAGATAATCAACTTGATTTAATGAAGGAAAAAACGTTTTAATTACAATTGGATTGATCTTTCATTGTAATAATAAACTAATCAAAAGTAGCAACAAACAATTAGCTGACAATTAATTGATTCTCTGATCAAAATTTCAAATGATTTCCAAATTGTTGACATTTAATTAAATTTGTTACATTGTTTTGAAATTTAAATTGATTTTTGTTCATCAAGCTTCGTGATTAGTTAATTGTTGAACAATTGAATAAGTTGTTAACAATAATTAAGAATTTAACTTGGGTAAGTTTGTCTTATTCTGGTTAATTGTTGTTATATATTTGATTAGATTCTGAATTGAAATAGTTAATTTTTTTTTGATTGTTTCCTTTTACATAACAGTTAATGATTCGGTTAACAAGCTAATTGTTTTGCTCATTAATTGGTTAATTGTTATGCTTCACTTAACTCTCGGTCTAAATCATCATCTTTCATTTTCCGGTAAAAATTGATTAAGTTAATACAACTCAATCAAATCAACAACTTTCGTTTTTGATTAAATACCAACAATCAACGTTAAGGTTAATATTTTTCTGCATATTAATAGGATATTATTATATTGCAGTTTTTTTGTATACATAATATTAGGATAAATGGTTCAATCAAATTGTATGTATTGATTAGTGGGTAACAATTAAGATAATAATATGATTACAATATTAATACTGATTTTGTTTTTGGTTAATAAAAGGTTAAGAATAAATTTGTTAAAATAGTTAATTGGTTAAGATAATTGGATATTGAAATTAAATGGATTAGGGATAATCCTTGTAACAACCGTTGGAGTTAAGATTATGATTTGTGCTCACGACGATATTGATGGCATTTTTTTTTCGTCATTAAAGTTTGATAATTAGTTGTCTTCTTGTTACGTTTTGATGTGAATTTGGATTCAGTTAATCAGTTCGATGGTTAATATTGAACAAGATTTAGTGGAGTAATTGGATCCAAGAACCATTCGATTGATTGGCCTTTTCTTGAGATATTCTGGTTATATATAAGATTTTAACAGGTCATGGCGATGGGGAAAGTAGTTTAGTCCAAAATGTTGTGGCATTTAATAAGTGTCAACGATGGTACATTTCGACTCGTCGACAAGGTAAGGTTTTAAATTTTCCAAAATGGTTCGAATTTCAGTTTCGTCAAGGCTTAGTTTCATCTCTTTCATGGGCTTTGCATCCTTGGGGATTCGTCGATAGTTTTGCTTAGAAAAGATACTTGTACCAAGGAAATCGGGTAAATTAGCGGCTGGAATAAAGTCTAGAATAGTTTTCGAATCAACAAATTGTAAACCACCAAGACCGGTCATCATTCGACCAAACATTCTAACCATAATTGATGCACCGTAAATCAGCATGTATCGTAATCCAAGAGGATAATATGTTGAGATGATTGTGTTTGCTTCTTGTAACCAGGATGCATTGATCTGTGAATAATCAGAACCAGAGATATCAACCACTAAACCCCAAGAGGCAACACGTTCACTACAACTGTCAATCTGATCAATATTGTAAATAAGAAGATTTCGAATGATATCAGTTAAATCGGTTAGTTTCATTAAAATGTTACCGCGAATGTAGAGGACATTATTTTCTCGATAATCAGGTAGAAACTTGAAAACTGGTGATAGATTATAAATTTCACGAGGTATTTCCAATGGATTAAATTTGTTGACACGATTTTCTTTCTTCCAAGAAAGAAATTGTTTTAAACTCTCCAATCCTTTAACTGGCCCATTCTCGTTTGCCAAAATGAATCGTTTAACAGCCCAATCATTGTTCATCACCTTCTTATAATCAACTTGTTCACAAATTCCAGGATCATCATCATATTCCTCATCAAACCACATTCGAAGGTCAACGACTTCTTCACTTATAGTTTTTCTTTGTTTCATATTTGATTAAACTGGAAATTACGGAGACAAACAGGCAAATACACACACAAAAAAAGAGAAAAGACGAAGAAATTAATATACAATGTTGATGGAATTAAATTAGCATCCAAAATGGTGGAAAGTAAAAAGAACAAACCTGGTCAAGAGAAAAGAAAAGAACAAAAAAGTGATTAAAGAAAATGGAAGAAGAAGAGAATAGAATTTCATTCAAAGAGTAAGAGTTTTACTCTCTGATTTATTAGCAACACACAGAGAAGTGGAAGTTAACCAGGAAAGGTACACACATGAAGTTAATTAATTACCTGATTTAATTAAATTAAAATGAATCACAAAAGAAAACTGTTGTTAAGATGTGAGTTGTTCCTTAGCAAACAACAAAATGTTTACTGTTTATATTGAGCTGATGTTAATCAAGGCGACGACTTATTAGCCTTGCAAACGAGTGAGTGAGAAAAAATGAGGAAAAAACTTTAATCATCATCGTTTTGTTGATGATTAATTTAAACAACTGATTGTTGGAAAAGAATAGAATAAAATTAATTATAATTGTAATTTAAATTGGAAGAGATTTTGTTTTTTCCATGAGAACATGTTGCCAACTATTGAAAAGAGAAAATTAAAAATCAAATCGAGAGGGAAAAAAGAAAATGCGAAAGAGGAGAAAAAAGTGTAGACAGAGAAAAGAATTGGAGGTTTGTTCAAACTGGTTCAATTTTCTAATGGAAGCTGATTGATTTGGATGAACGAATAAATTTATTCTTATTTGACTAATCAATTATTTCGTATTTAATTGTTAATTGTTTGAATTACTTTCCAATCAATAATTAATCTAAAAATCTTTTCAATTTTGTTCCTTTACAAATAACAAGTGACAACAAGTGAAAGAAACGACAACAAGTCAATGGATATTCATCATTCTCATTGTGTTTTTGTTCAATTAATTGGGTGAGTAGATTGAATTTTCATCTCTTCTTTCAATTGTAATTAATTGTCTTCATTAATTAGCTGATATTTGATTAATGTTGCTTTCTTTCTCTCTCTCGATTGTTTAATTGTGATTGATGGTTTTCTGTAAATGCAAATCATTGAGTTAGGCCTAAGCTCTTTGTCTTGTTGCTAAGCGCTAATGAGTTATTGATATGAGACTTTTTCTCCACCTAATTTTTAATTCTGATTGATTTTCAACAATTAAGGTTAATTATTTATTTGTGTATAAATTTCCTGATGATTGAAGCTCTTCAGAGACAGATTGACATGTATTAATCTGATTTTCCACCATTAACATTCAAATTAGTTTTGTGATGATTGTTGTTTATTTATTATTGTGACAGTTTTTTAGTGAGAACAATTAAAAACCTTTTCTATTGTGTTTATTAATCATTTGATTTTCATCTATTTAGCTTTTGTACAATTTCAGTGAGACAATTGATTGATTTGAGTTATCATGATTTGATTATATCTGATTATTTAAAAATCACTCAAAAAAAAGAGAAGCTAAAAAATATATGAAATGATCAATTGATTTGACATTTTATGTATAAATATTTAATTGTTATTGAGATTTGAGACAATTAAAAGTGGATTAATTAGTTTCTAATATCAGGGCGATTAACTTTTCAACCAATTTAATGAACCAGAATAATTCAAATTAAATGTATTGTCTTTTGTATTGTTAGAATACATTTTTGATATTTGGAAGGCAATCAAATCTAATTGATGTCAATTCTTGGTTCATAATTAATTGATTATCAATATAATGAATAGAAATTCATTGGAAATCAATTAATCTCCACCCAGTAAACTCACATGGAAATATTAATTGTGATAATCTCCATTGAGATTGAGAAGCAAAATTCAATCGTAGGTCTACTATTGACAATAATAAGAACACAATTTAAGATAATGTGACACTCTGATGTTGATGAAATTGTAATTGTTTTAATTGTTTCTTTGTTTGATTGACAAGAAGTAAACATGGTAAACCAGAGAGGAGTAAAATACACATAATTAACAGTCGCAATTTAGATTGTTTAAAGTTGTTCCAGACATACGGTAAGTGATTAGATTGTCACTTATCCAAAGGAGATCAGCTTATTACAATTAATCGTTCTAGCAGTTTGAGAGTTTGTTGATAATCAGAGGGAAAAGTTTGGTGACAATATGAACATCATTCCAATCAATCAGCTTTAATACAGGTGAAATTTACTAAGTATAATTAGAGTCTATTTAGAGGTGCAATGGATAGAAGAAAGAAAAGATCACTTTGACTTCGGGTCGGAGAAAGAGAGAAAGTTGATTGTGTCACCATTTAACCTGGAATAAAGATCTCTGTTTGAATCGATCATATAATTTGTCCTGTTTTGTTTTCCATGGATTCAACCATCTTGACTGTAGAAAAGAGAGAGACAGATAGACAGGCAAAATCGCCCAAGTACCACAATTCAAAAGCGATCAAAGGCCAAAAAATACGTGAGAAAAATGTAATAACGTAATAATCCTATAAATAGACAAAGAGAAAAAAAAATAACATGAAGATCTATAAGAGAAGTAATAGAAAAAAACGATTGACACCTTAAGTAGAACAGTTAAACTGCCACCGAACCTAAACAGGTCAAACATCAAAGGTGAGATTTAATTGTTTGCAACTTACGTTTGTATCATTTAACCATGGTGATGATTAGATTTTTTATCGGCAAGGCAAGTCCAATGTGAACGGAATCAAGAAGGGCAATCATTTGTTTCCTTAACGATTGGATCTCTTCAATTTTACACATCAAACGGTAAAGATAATCGGAAGCATCACAAGGCGATTCACAGGCAACTTCCAGGTATCTTTTTAAAAGATAAATGTAACCATATTGTTCACATCTAAAAGAACAAAAAAGAGAGAGAGAGAGAAAAGTAAATTAATCAACAAACTTTAAGGTAAAAGAAAACTGAATCAATTTAGTTAACCAAACAGCAACCACAACGAAAGCAAAACAAAACTGATCGCCTTAGGGGAGTCTCGATTATCCCACAAGGGGGCAGATTAATCTCTTTGGTAATTGTTTGAAATGAATTAGTTTTATTGATTATTTTCTATTTTGTCTAAACAATTAAATTAAATTTTCTAATCAGATCAATTAAATGGTTCACTTAAACTTCAATCGTGTATTTGTTGTCTCAGTCTAAGCTTTTTGGATGGATACGTTTACCTGTAAGTGTTTTTTACTCATTAATCAACTTTTCTTTTCTTACAATTAGTCAATTGTGTTTTATTTTAAATTGCTCTTCGTGATCAATATTAATTATATTCACTTTCTTCACCTTCAATTTGAGTTAAACAATTAAACCTTTTTTTTAAAGGTAAAAGATACTCTCTTTGGTTGAATTGTGTTTATACATTTTCCTTTACTTTTAAGAGTTAAAGTTAATACAATGTTACTAATTGTTAACAATTTAGTTTACTGATTACTCTTTGGTTTTACCACTTCTTACGCTTTGTAAACCTAATTAAATCCCTTTAATTGCTATTAACTATCAATTCTCACAACAACAACAACAATTTTGTTCCTTGTTTATATTTTACTCACCTAATAGAGTCGCTGAATTTTAAATTTGGCAAATCAGGATTAAAAATGACGATTAAATAAATTATCGCTGCCGCTGTAAGGTCATTTCTCCATCGGTCAGGATACGTTTGGATAATATTGACAATATTATCATGTAGAATTGGATCCAATCGGTAAATTTCCCTCCTATCAACTTTTTTACCTGAGGCCTTAAATATTGTCAAGAAACAAAAGGTAAAGTAAACATTTTAATCTCTCTCGGTCTAATTAATGACTATAATTAGTGATATTTATCTTTCCCACTTCTCTTCATATCAGAACTTGTTAACTAATTGGCCTAAGAGTTACAAAGGAAAATAGAAATGAAAATAAATGTTAACACTCACGTTCCAACTATCGGTTAGATGATCGTAGGTGATGATACTCTTCATGGCGATTGTATCAAAAAAGACATTGGTTAACAGGGTAACCTTATCTTCAATGTGTAACCTCCTGTAGGCCCGGACTTTGGAACAGGTATTGACAAATTTAGCGGTACAAACATCAGGCCCGATACTTGTGGTACACAGAGCGACGTCATGGAAAGCGGCCACCGCCTCTTTAATTGCCAACGATTGGAATTCATCTAAAGCTATTTGAGTAGCCAAGAATTCTGATTTAAGACTTAATGGTGAATAATAAGCTTCTAGAATTTTCTTTGCAACACTCGCTTTCCAAGGTTCATTGGTTTTCGAATGAGGTGTATTCACTTTGATTGCTGGTCTAAATTCTGTACTCGTAGGAGCTGAAAAATTGGCCTGATTATCGTTAGATTGAGAATAAGCTGGTTGAATCTGTGGAAAATTACTCTCAGGTTGATATGATGAAGGTCGTGATGTTGATGGTGAATATGAAACCGGTGAATTGGCTATTGAGGAAGTATAAGAAGAGAAACAAGGAGACGAAGATGTGGTTGGTGAACTGGCGACAAAAGTTGAGGCCAAAAGTTGATCTAAGGTATCGATCATTGAATTTGATGGATAAGCATCATAACCTTGATTGTTATAAAATGGAGGTGAAAATTGTGTTGGCTGCTCATGAAATCCAACGTTCGTATCCAAAAATTGATTGAAATCATATCGATCATCCATATTATGATCACCACCTTCATTAGTTGGCAGCGTTTCCGGGTAATTAAGGTGATCTTTGAGTGTTTCATCATCAGGGAAAAGAGCATTAAGTAAACTCTCGACACTGGATGAACAAAGTGAGGAAAAGGGAGGTAATGATGACGACGAAGGTCCAGCTATTTCTTGGTCCATTTTCGATTAATGTGATTCTCTTCTAATTGAAATTCTATTCTCGGCAATAATGATGGTACAGTGGTGACTTGTTATGATTAGCAACTATAAATCAATTATCGTTTTAATCATTTAACGAACCACATTAATCAAAATGAAAACAAAAATTGATACATTGGAAGAAGACGCAATAACAGTTAACTAATTGCTGATAAAAAAACTGGATGTTTATTACTTTGAAGAAGGAAAAAACAAAAGGAAATCAATTCTAGAAACTTAATTGTAATTGTATTTACACATTAATTATAATTGGTGATGATGAATAAAAAACATTGTCAGCACATCATCAGACATTTTTCCAGGTTTGATTGACTCTCTCTCTCTCTCTCTTCATTATCTTCATTCTCACTCTCCCCTTTTCATAGTCTCTTACATTTCTCCCTCTATCATTTTTTTCTGGTCTTTATTTCTCCCTCACTCATTACTACTCCATAATAATAACATATCTCACTCTCATTCTCTCTCAACAATTACTCCACCTTTAACATCTACATGTAAATGCTCTCACTCTCTCACTTTGTCTTTATCCTTATCTCTCAATTAACTCTCCTCCATTTGCAACATCGAAGGTAAATTCATTAATTGTTACAATACATTGATTCATTTCTCTCTCTCTCTCTCTCTCTCTCTCTCTCTCTCTCCCTTGTTGAATTTGATCTGATCTCTTATCCAACTCCTCTCTCTCGTATCAAAATATTATATTATTATATTAATAGTTTTTTCAATCTCCTCTCATAGTTTTAATTATATCGTTATGATTTCCTTTTTTCTGCTCTTTTTGATAACATTTTATATCCATTGATATTTAAGATGCCAGGTAATAAGCGATAGAAACTTGTTTATTTATCTTATATGTATTAGTTTCTAATGGCTTAAGTGTTAATCTATAAATGTCCTGAATATTATTATTACACCGAGAACAAATTGTCAATCAACAACTCTTGATTCTTGATTGGATTTTAATACTAACATAAGCTGATTTGATATACATTATTTAGCTATTAATTTATTATCAAAGAAAAAAAAAATTATCTCTGATTGTTACTTTATTATCTGGATGGGAAAGTTAATGAAGGAAATGCCAATATAAAGGTAACACAAAGAGTCGCAAGCGAAGTGACAAATGATGAGGAGATTATGAAGAGATTAGCGAAAGTTATTCCAATATCATATCGACCCATTCGATATATCATCAATGAGACCTAATTATTAATAATAGGAAGAGAGAAACAATAGTTAATTGTTGTTACAATTATTATTATCTTTGTTTATGATAACCTTTAAGAAATGGCTCTTTTTCCCCATTAATTGCTTACCAGGGAAAGTTAATTATTTTGGGAACAATTAACTTCCATCAGCATGTTAATCTTGTTTTCGTGTTTAAAATTTTTCTTTCTTTCTTTTCTTATTAATTAAGCTTAATCATGATGATTAATTTACTCTGGATTCATTATCAAGAATGAACTTTAATCTATTGTATTGATTGACAGTAAAATCAAAATCCACTTGAGATAAGTAATTAAATTAATCTATTTTAATTTCTCAAGTGATTTATCAATTAATCTCAATGTACAAGAGAAAAAAAAATTAGATGATCTGATCGAAAATGATTTAGCATCTTCAAGAACTCTAAATGTTTTATTAGAACAATTTTATTTCTATAAAGTCGCTGACGAATGATTTACCTCTTCGTAGTATCGGGAAAGTCCTTCGACGATTGAAATTTTATAAACTTTATCGAAACACTTTGAGGCCAAATTGTTTATTGTGATAGCACTAACGGTGGTCATTAGTGTACCCGTGATGCTGATAATCAAAATATATAAGGCGACAAATATTTCGACGATCGTTACACTCAGATAGATTAATCGGTAAAGGGCTAATAAGGTTATCGGTATTAGAGTACAATAAGTAACGATGATAAAATAACGGATAAAATGGTCGACAGTTTGAGTTAATTCAATTCCATGGCAGTGTAACTTTCGAATTGATTTAATCTTCTCATCTAAAGGTCCAGGTTCGATGATAAGATTATCAATCATTGAGTTGACACGAACGAAAATCGCTTGAACGTGAAAGATCAATTTTAAGGCGAAATCGAAGACCAAATTGAGTAAACATGAGATGATTAAGACGGAGAAAAATTTCAAAATGGGCTTAGTCCGGAAGATGCACGAACTTTGGTAAATTTTATTACAATCGTTTTCGTTGAGATCGGCCTGGACAAATGGAGCTAAAATTAAGCTGAAAACGATGTAAGTGACAATTATGATTCGAGCTTTACTCACTTTTCTATTGATAAAATTTCGAGTTTCCAGATTATCATTCAAGCCCGTTTTGGACCAAGTTTCGTTAAATTGAATAATAAGTTTCCATTCACAGCCAAAGACGATGTAAAAATTGGACAAAGTTTGTAACAAGGTCGTAAATAGCCTTATAATATAAATATTAAGATCGCCACTTCTCTGGTAGCTCAGGTAATTTGCATAAATTTCGTAGCCACCGAATAAAATTGTCGAACACAATACAAGTACCTTAATCACGATGGTCATCTTTGTCTTTTTACCGAAGAAGAAGATAAACAAATTCGAGATTTTGATCTCATTCTGAGACAAAAATTGATCTAAATAAATTTCTTTGGTCATTTCTTTTTAGAACTTCTAATCATAAACAATTAAAGGTAAATCATCAAGTTCCAATATTAAATATCAATGAGAAAATGAAACTCGAAAAGTTCTGAGATTGAAGTTCGAGGCCCATGAACAAGATATTTGCTTTCTATCAATTTCTGATAAGGTTTACTAAGTGATTATTTGGTGATATTAAATTTCCAGCAATTAACTTGAAATCAAATTGATGTCAATTTCAATTTAATCAAAACAAAAAATTAACAATCAGCTATTAGTGTAACGATTAAGTTTACGATTAATGTATTGATCAATTAAGGATTAAGTCAATACTTTAATTTCTTGAATGGTGATAATTTGATTTTAATTTTCTTCTTTAATTGTGTTTTAATGTAATTGCCTCTTTGTTTAGGTACTTGAGAATACACTGAGAATCAACTAATTGTTGATAATCTTTTAATCATTATTGAGTTTTGAATGTTGACGGAAATGCCAATATAAAGGTAACACAAAGTGTCGCAAGTGAAGTGACAAATGATGAAGAAATGATGAAGAGATTAGCGAAACTTATTCCAATATCATATCGACCCATACGGTACATCATCAGTGAGACCTAATTGTAAGTAAACAAATGATTAAACGATTGTCGAATCTGATAATAAACTTTCAACAGAGTAACTTAATTGTTACCAATCAAAGTTCAGTTTAGTTTATCTTTATTTGATTAACTGAATCTCTGATTTTCTGGTCTTACGATTTTGACTTGATTGGTGATTGTCAATTTACCTCTTTGTAGTAGCCTGGGCATCCATTGACAAACGAAAGCTCGTAAACTTTATCGAAACACTTTGAGGCCAAATTGTTTATCTCAACAGCGCTAAAAGTAACGATAACTGTTGCCGAAATACCGATGACCAAGACACCTAACGATGTGAACCGATCAAGTATCGTATCAGACTCATAAATTAATCGGTAAAGTCCAAGCAAAATGACCGGTACGATGATACAATAGATTCCGATGATGAGATAAAATATGAAAAGGTCAACAAGTCGAGTCAATTCTCGGCCATAATAATGTAATCGTCGAATTGATCTGAGCTTTTCACACAGAGCACCAACTTCGTTAGGTAATTGTCCCAATTTACGATCGACTGCAATAAAAACTGCTTGAATATGAATCGAAAGTAAACTTAGAAAGTCGATAATCATACTGATCAACATCAATTGGATTAAATTGTCCACAAAAACATAAAACATCTTGATACTGGAAATATAAGTAAATCGATTGAAATCGAAATTAAGTAAAGCGGTTATACTTGCACTCGAAGTACAGAATAAGATGAACACGATTCGAAATTTTCGTCTTTTTCGATTAATATAATTTCGAGTCTCCGAATCATCTTGTAGATCAGTTTTCGACCAAATTTCGACGAACTCAACAATCAAATCCCATTTGCACACGACGAGTATACAAATAAACGAGTAAATATGTTCCAATGAGGCCAAAACGAGGATAACGTTTGAATCTAAATTGCCGCTGGTCAGATAGTAATTAGCATAACGATAGAGCGAATCTCCTTGTCGGAGAATCGCCAAGAAAAAGATCACTTTAATCAAAGCGGTCGATTTGGTCTTTTTGTAAACAAAAAGCATAAGAAAATTGGAGAGATTAATTTTTTCCTCTTGATCATTTGCCAATTTATTGATCGACGATGAGGAAAATTCAATGGTCATAATTAAGTTAATTGTTATTCAATCATTTAACTGTTATGATCGAATGTTAAACAATTAGTAGTTTATCTCTTTGAAATCTAATAATTAGATTTCACCTTAGACTCTGATCAATTGCTCAGAACTTTTGTTAAATGAATCAGAACTTTTTTAATGGAAAAACCATAAAGATAATCTAATCATGATAACAATTGTGCTTGGCAATTAGTTGGTTGCATTAAATTGTGAATGAAACCAAAAATCAATAAGATTATAATTGGTTAACAATGGTGTTTAGAAAATGTTTAAATCTCAGTTTAGGATTAGGATTATTTGAATTAATCGTCGTTGTTGTTGTTGAGTAAACTAACAGCCAAATGGATTAGAATGATTATGAAAAGAAGGATAATTAGAGCAAATTTTAATTGATGTTCCTCCATTTCGGCTAATACTGGCTCGAGAAATAATCTTCGAGTGTCGGATATTCTCTGTTCGACAACTTCGGGACTTGGACTACTTCGAGTTGAATCAGTTGTTGAGTTCGGGGAGCCGGAAGGTGATGAAGGTGGAGTTGATTTGGCTGAACTTAAAGACGAAACCAAATCAATCATGTATTTAAGAGCAGCGGGTGTTGTTGATTGAATTTGGTTTATCTGCTCGGGTGTCGGCGCTTCGACCCATTGGCCTTTTCCTATGATATCGGCCAATTCGTCAGGAACATTTCGGTTCACTAGTGTTGTCCTTCGGCGATTACCTGCTTTTAATTTCGATCGACGGGTCACTTTGGGTGAATCATTTTCAACCCAAAGAAGATCTTCTCTGTTTCGAAGTTCGTTAACATTTCTTTCGCTTGCAGATGATTCGTTACTCTTGGAAATACTTTTCTCTTCCTTTGATTTGTTTGATTCCTTAGAATTTGGTGTCTTTGGCATTTTAACTTAATCACAAACGAATTGGAATCACAATCAAAGTTATTGATAAAAGACAAAAATATTCCAGTTAATTGTTTCCTTTTACAACAATTTTCCCTAATATTTTACAATAGAATCCTTTATGTTTTGTGTTTAACTGCTTTTGGAAAGCAATTAAACTTTGTAGTACAAAATGTATCATAATTGTTGAAAAAATGTTTATAAAATAATTTTTGTTAAGGTTACAATTTTCATCTGTGTTCACATTAATAATTGATAATAATTGGATTGATTAGGAAGATGAATATAACGTTTAGAGAATAATCAAAGTTTTGCTTTGATTTGGACAAACAATTTCTCTAGTTTCATGGCTACCGAAATGTTTCCCTTGATCTTTAGTTTACCGGCCATAAAAGCGTTTGTTGCCTTGATATCACCTTTGGCCATTTTGTAGAAAGTATCTTCATCGGTGATAAGGGTAACATCGGGATTTCCTGAAGGATTATCATTTTGATTGACGACAATTGGTCTACTCTCATGAGCATCAACGATCCAATTTTTACCAGATATTTGGAAAAATAGAAGAGCATTAATTTGACTCTTTAAATTGTCATCAAGTAAATTTTTAATCCCATTGAAAACCTTATCCACCTTAAAGACTCCACTGGTGGCTGATGGTTTAGCCTGATCACCAAAATTTTCAGGAATATCTTCACCCTCATAATATTCATCGGGTAAGAAAAAGTCCAACATTAACTTTTCACCGGGAACCTCAGCGTATTGATCAAAATTGGTGACACCTTCTTGTTTAAGGAAAGTTTCATCAACAACAAATTGACCTGTAAATTGTTCAGGTGATTTGGTTAAAATACCATAAGCAGCATCAGCAAGAATATCCGGTTTTCTGCAAATTTTTTTCACTTCAGGTCCTTCGGTAATCACATTCATAGCCGCTGTCCAAATAGCAGTTCTAGGCCACAAAGCGTTAACGGCAATCTTATCGTCTCGAAATTCTTCCGACATTCCTAGGACACACATTGACATTCCATACTTGGCCATAGTATATGCAACATGAGGTTTGAACCATCGTGAATTCATTACCAAAGGTGGACTCAAATTCAAGATGTGAGCATGATTGGATTTCTTTAGATGTGGAATAGCCGTTTTAGAGGTAACAAAGGTACCCCGAGTATTAATAGAATGCATTAGATCATATCTTTTCATATCGGTCACTTCTGTTGGGGTTAAATTGATTGCACTGGCATTGTTGATGAGAATATCAAGTCCACCAAACTTAGCAACAGTCTTTTCAATGGCATCTTTGACTTGATCCTCATATCTAATGTCAACTTGAAGAGGTAAACATTTACCACCAGCTTCCTCAACTGTTCAATGTAAAATGTGAGAAAGGAGAAATAAGAAACAAACCATATTAAAACTGAATAAAAAGGGAACATGATTGCATTGACAGAATAAACAAATTACCTTCTTTAGCAGCAGTATAAATGGTTCCTGGTAATTTAGGATGGGGATCAACCGTTTTAGCAGCAATCGCTACATTACAACCATCTTTGGCCAATTTAAGAGCAATAGCTTTACCAATACCTCTACTGGCACCAGTGATAAAAGCTGTACGACCAGCTAATTTACTGTAACAAGAAGAAAAAGGTGAAACAGTGATTAAAAAAATCCCAAAAATCAAATTAAACAATTACCTTGAAGGAAATAGGAATAGAAAAACAAAAATAATACTTACCCTGTGTTGATCATTTTGATAGAAACCAAACAGAGAAGAGGAGAAATAAAATAGAATAAGAATTTTGTATCACTCAAATGAAAAGGCAAACAATTAATCTACTAATGAATAACTTAGACAATCAATTCTAATCACATAGAAAATCAACAAGAATCAAAGATCAGTTTTAAAAAAAGAAAACAAGTTTACATGACAACTTGTTGAGAGAATAACTTTCAACATGAACCGAGTTTGCACTTTTCTAAAGAAACCCCGGTTCATTCAATTCTCTTAGATGGTAAAGCTTTTTTCTTCTAATAATCATTAGTTAATTATGGAAAATTTAACTGATCCAAATGAGAGAAAAAATGAATTTTTAATTATTCATTCAAAAATATAACCAAATTCATTTTAACATGAAATGTTTAACACATTTACATGAATATTTTGTAACAATTAGTTAATTACTGATTAGTGATTCTCCAAATCTTATAGCACTCAATTGTACTTACAATTAGATTAGATTTTCACTTAACCTTTGATTTAATTGCGATAATTTAATTGAAAGACCAGTCACTTTCTGTAGTCACAATTTTAACAATAAAATGTTGAAACAGAAACAAACAATAAGATGATCAAAATGAAAGATTTTCACTTACCTCTTTTAATCCCATTTGAAGATTAATTGTTAATCAGTCCAGCAGAGAACTTAATTAGTAGAATTGATTCAAAAAAGAACAAAAAATTAAATGTAATCATTTGATTCTAATTAAATTAAATTGGAAGCTTATAATTGCAAAGAGGAAAAGGTTAGAGTTTCCAAGCGAACAAAAAGAAAGAGAAAAAAATTCTATTCTAAACTCTTTCTTCGTTCCAACTGTTAGTGCGACAGAGAAAAAGATCGGTCACTTTTGTTTTGTTCCTCATTTGGTCTTCATCTTTTGTTTTGATTACTTTGTGTCTCTTTTAATTTTTATTCGGGCAAATTATTGTTAATTAAGAGAATTGATTGCTTGATATGAGAATTTGGTAACGAGAAGATTGGAACGATCATTTGAATAGTTGTAGTGAGAAAGAAAAGTGAATCAATTGTTGATTGTCTCTTGTTTAGTTGCAACAGTTAATTCTAGTCGATTAACTAAATAATCTCCATCATCATGGTGAATAATTCTAGTGAAACTGTTAATCAACCTTCGGGTAAACAGTTGATTGCCACCATATTGAATCTTAAATCGGTAAGTGGATTCACTTTCATTTGGTTGATTTACTTGATTGTGTTGGTGTCTTTTTCTCTTGTCGTTTAATTTGTCTTTTTTTTTTACATAAGTTCTTCTAATTTAAGTTTATGTTTGTTCTATTCTCTTTTTTTTCTTACAGGAAAATCGACTTTATAAGTGTTTGAATAAGGTGAAAGATGAAATTGTTAAAGCGAAAATTCAATATACCGAAGAGGTTAAGAAAGAAAATCTATCTCATGAAGCTACTTTCTTAGCAAACGAAAAAATAATTTCTGGACAAAAGAACGTCATTGATGATTTAAATAAACAAGTGGAGAGCCTGAACAAACAATTAGCTACGACTAAATCATCGATTGATGATAGATCTAAATCAGTGGAAACACATCAAAGTACAATCCAAAAACTTTCGTTTAACCTGAAAGAAGCCCAGAAATATATTGACGATCAAAATTACGCCATTGACCAGTTGAGGAAAAGGTTATCGGACTGTAAGAATGACCATGAAAATCATAAAAAAGCTTTAAAAGAAAGATTCTTGGAGAGGATTGAAAAAGCCAAAGAAGAGATGGAAGTGGAACGGGAAAAGTCGACCCAGAAATTGATGCAAACACGGGAATTTTATGATGCCGAAGGGAGAGATCTCAGAAGGAAAATCGATCAACTGAAAGACGAATTGGATCTCTTGAGGAGAGCCGATTTTAATAGACCCACTCAATCAACCAGCCGAGGAAAAGGTCGTAAAAGGCCAACATCTACTACCAGAGATTCTGCCGGTACTAAAGCTACTCCAAATAAAAGAAAAGGACGACCAACTATAAACAAGACAAATCGATTTCCTGAAGTCGATTCTTCGACAATAATTGACGATGACGACTTGGAATCGGAGTCCAGACCAAAAGCACAGCAAAAAGCACCGGTAGCCGATTCTTTATTCCCAGATACTCAGAATGACCGATCACCTTCACCAATAATTTGGTTATCTCAACCAAATTACAAAGAGGAATCAGATACAGAGTAATCGAGAGGGAGAATTTTTTTATTTTCTCTTATATTTTTTTACATTTTACTATATTGAAACACTGAAAAGTTGAATAATCGCCTCTGAAGGGATATTCATATATATATAGACAACTTTATCACTTTAAAAGAAAAAATTATCTCCCAGCTCAGCATTAAACCGGAAGAAAAGTTACAAAGATGAAACATTTTGAGTCGTGGAAAATATTGGAAATTATGATTGAAGCCGATTGATTATTAGTTTACGAACTCTAACCAGAAAACCGATCAAGTTAATTTGTCCCGATTTAAGATTACTGTTGATAAACTCTTCGATTTTTTTAAATTCCTCTTCCAGATCTTTGAAATCAGTTTCCAAAACTATATAAGAAAATTGTATGAGAAAAAAATGAACCAAAAACCAATTAAACACTTTGAAATTTTTGCATAATAATCAATATACTTACTATTAATTTCAACCAAACTGGATTTAAAGGTAATACTGTAAAACTTATCAGGATCAACAGGATCGACTTGTGATAAACTAACTTTATAAGTTCCAATATAAGAATCGGGTGATTCATTTTCCAAGTTAATCACTTGAAAATCAAGACCAACATTTCCAAGGAAATTAAAAACAGATGAGATGAGAGCTTTTCTCGCCTGCTCTTGTTTAACCTTCTCCTCATATTTTTCCGTTGATCGAACAATCCGATTCTCTAATTGTTCATAAGATTTACTATATTGTGAGACACTGTCCTGTTTAACTTTAATCTCTTTCTCCAATTTTGTACATTCATCTCGTAATGATTTAAGAGTTTTAACTTCATCTCTCATCTCTACCATTTAGAAAACCAAACAAAGAAATCACAAGAGACAGAAACAAGAGAAAACTAGAGTAAATTAATCACAAATCGCAAAATACATTAATTGTTGATTGAAATGAGAAGAAAAAATTCTAAATCAAATTAAATTGTTTACTCACTTTGTTCAATTTCATGTTGCATTGTATTCTTGCTCTTGCTGAGAAACTTTGGTGGAAGAAGATTTTCCCTGACATTTTCCAGCTTGGAACAAAATTCTGCAGCATCGGACACAATTGAATCATACGAATCAGTCATTATTTAAATGAGAGAAAATTAAAAAACAATTAAAAATAAATAAGAAAAGAAAGAAAAGTTGACAAAAAAAAGAGAAATTAAAATGTAAACAGTTTTTGAATTTTCGCCGTTAATTTGATTGGAACAACAATCGATGTATCGATAGAATCACGTGATTCTCATGTCTGGTTTTCCATTTGAGAAAAGAAAACAATTTTTTTCTAAAATGTTTTGTGTTCCAGGTTAGTTAATTTGGTTTAATTCTTTTGCTTTTTATTTTTAAATTGATTGTTGTTTCTTCTTTATTTTCTATCAAGGTGATCGATTGAGTGTCGCCGATGAGAAAAATCTAGGTGGTAGAGGAACGTTTATCAAAGGATCTTATATTTATGCTGCTCTTGCTGGTAAAGTTAATGTTAACCAAAATGAAGAAATGGTTTGTTAATTTTTCTTTTCTTTTATTTTCTTTTGTTTTGTTTTTTTTTCTTTTTAATTGTTTCATTTTTTGTTTATTTTCGATTTTGTTTTTCCTTCTTTTCTTGTCTTTTCTCATTTTGGTGTAGAATATTGTTGAAGTTGTTTCTTGTGGTGGTATCACTCGGAAAGTCCCTTTGACTGGTGATATTGTTACATGTCAAATAGATAAAGTCACTTCAACTCAATGTAAATGTTTAATTCAATGTATAGCTGATGTTATGTTGAAAAGACCCTTCAAAGCGATTATTAGAAAAGAGGATGTTCGTGAAACAGATAAAGATAATGTCGATTTGTATTCCTGTTTTCGACCTGGAGATTTAATTATATGTAAAATTATTGGTCTTTCCGATTTTGGTTATCTCTTGACAACAGCTTCTAATGAGTTTGGTGTTGTTACTGCAAGAAGTGAAAATGGTAATACTTTCAAATGTTAATCACTAATTAACTCTTATACTAACAATTCAAACTAATTTCTGTGGTTTAACTCCAATTTTCAGGTATTTTAATGGTTCCAGTATCTTGGACAGAGATGATTTGTCCTGAAACAAAAGTGAAAGAACCTCGAAAAGTAGCCCAATTAACTAAAAGTACCAAAGAAAAGTCAAAAGCTCCAATCGTTAAATTAGATTAAATCGAATTGAATAGTTGGGATTTATATTGTTAACAACTCTATTACTAGAGAGGCTAAACAAATCAACGACTATTGAATCTCTCACACGACAAGATTCATGTAAATATGTGAATCAATTTCATTAACAAAATATTGATTATCTCCATTCAAACACGAATTTATGCAACGAATGATTTAATTCAAGTTATGGAATCAAAAATTTGACTGGTCACAACTATCAGAGGATTTTAATTGTGTAGAAATGGACTCATTTAGTTCTTTATAAGGTGATCTTAAGAATTGTGTAACCGTAAATTTTACAAAATGGTTCAGTTATTAAGGCATGAAGAGAAATAGAAGAAAAAAACACATTTTCTCAAATGTTTCAAGTTGATTTAGTTTGGTCAAGAAGACGAAGCATTGTACAACTTGGGTTCTCTTAAATATGGATTGTCAAGAACTTCTGCTTCTTGTGGAGGATTTTCACTTGTAGCATTTGCTGAATTAGCTTCCGTTTCACCTCCTTGAGCTTCACCAGAAGTTGATGGTTTGTTAAGAGACGATTTTCTTGGTGATTCTTTATCTTCCGTTGTGTCTTCATCTTCATCCTCAAATATCTGATCTTTTGGTAAAAGAGCTTCTAGATAAACGTTTGATTTTAATTTAGGTTCAATTAATGGATAAAGATTAGATAATTGTTCATCGGGAAAAAGTGAATGAGATACTGCATTTTCTCCGGTTTTAGCCATAAATCTAGTTAACGCTCTTTCAACATCTCGCTTTTGAGTAGCCGATTTCTCTCTAATTGCTTCATACTCAGTCACCGGTTGTTTATATGTTGGCGTCCTAATATAAGCATGAGCATCTGTTGAATATAAGGCAGAGAAAAAGAGATACATTAGTAATTTAACCTGTGAATGACCAATTCAATTAGCTTAAAGCCAAACCGATAAAAATAGCTGAGAGTAAAAATGATTTCCCGCGTAAAAATTATGAGCACAATCGGAATTTTTTCTCAACAACTTTCCAAGAAACGATGATTACCTGGAAATGATGGAAAATAATCTGGAATATAAGGTGGCAGTGGTTTCTTATCACCCGCTTGTAATATTTTAGGCATTGGTTGACTAGGTGCTTTCCCTGGCGGTGGTAACACAATCCGTTCTGATCTTTTAGCATAATCAGGAATACCGTCTGACCTAATACCAAGGCAAACAAGTGCTATATCAATATCGGCAACATTGGGCTCGGTTCGTCCACCATGTTCACAGTATTGGCGGCTTGTTCGTCCAATTTCACAAATAAGTGATTGCAACATTTCCAGTAAAGTTTCAACTGCAGGTCTTTCAGCATAAGCGAAACCATTTTCATGACAAATAGCACAAATAGATGAGAATAAAATTTTCCTTCTAACTGAGCCTTCCATCACACCTCAGTAAAAAGCTTAACCGGAGTAACCTCTATCCAAAATCCTTTTGCACTCAAATAAAATGTAAACCAAGAGATGACAACAAAATAATCAAAGCGATTAAATTAACCTTAACCACCGATGAAAAAAAAAAAAAAAAAAAGCGGTACCAAGAAAATGAGTTGATTGAATCACAATATAAATCTAAGAGAAATTATTAGAAAAAGAAGAGTTAAAATGAAACCAAGTAAAGACCAAATGACTTACCTGCTGTTGGAAATCATTTAACCTCGAAATAGTTAACAATCAATATTGAAAAGCTTCACAATTAACGGAACAATTTAGACGAACAATTGGAAATGAAATTTAAAAATTTTCTTTCTCATCGATAGTAAAGAGTAACTATGGTAACGAGATGTTTTCTCTTCAAAAGAAAAGCGCGATATTCAAATAGATTTTGGAATAATTTTTTTTTCGAAAATAAAATCAATTGTTTAGAGAATAAATTTTCAAATTTATTTATTAGATTTCTTTTTCTTGGAGCTTGTTTGATTTTTTGAACTTTTTCTCTCTTTTTTCGACCAGATGATGGTAAGACTGTTGTCTTTGGTTCACAGAAGGGAATCTCTTCATCTAATTGATATTCATCTTTTGTTAATGATGATTTAACTGTGAACAAAGATTTTCCAATTTTCTGTAATTTCTTTTCGCTCATTTCAACATCTCCAGTCCAAGGAAGGATTAATTGAATGTCACGGAAATAAAATCGAGGAGGAAAATGGTTAACTTGATGGTCTATGTTGATAAAATCATCCATTTTCTTTTCACTTTCATCGAGATTTGTTGTTGATGTTGGTAAATCAATTTCCTCTCTTGGAATATAAAAATTATCTTCTGGTGGAAAGTCAAACACAAATTCTGGCTTATAAGTATCAACTATTTCCATATCTTCAGTGTTTGAATGTAAACACGGATTTAATTCACTTTTATCACTAAAAGATAATCCTGGTTGTTGGAGGAATATTTTAAACAACGAATGGCACAAAGAGGTTGATTCTTTTACTTTCTCGGTGAAAGCATAACAGGATAATTTAGACATTTTCAAAATATCACCAATTTGATTAAGATTCTTGGATAATAGAAAGGGAACATTAAACTCTTTACAAAGATCATATAATGTTGCTTGAATATGAACCGTCAATGGATCACAAGCGACAACACCGATTAACTGTTTTTTTTGAATTTTCTTGATTATCTCAGTTAAACCGAAAACAATTTCATCTCTAAGTGGATTTCTAGGCTTAGGAATAGGCAAATTAACTCGATCAGTCGATTCTTTATCCTCACCAATAGTAAAAATTGGTTCTTCAATTTCAATTTCAATTTCAATTTCTTTTTCTTTTTCTTTAGATTTTTCTTCCTGCTCTTTTTCTTTGGCTTTTCCTTTTTCCTTTTTCTTTACACTGTAAAAAGAGAATGAAAATTATCAATAACAACTAATAGAATAAAATTTTTATCCATACAAACCTTTTAGCAATACAAGTAAGTTCAGGATGATTAACAATTAGATTGGAAAAAAAATTGATCATTTCTTTTCCATCTGAAGGTTTTAAACCAGAAACAACTTTATCCGATTGTCCATTGAGAAAAGTTATTCTTCTAACTTTCTTCTCTTGGTCACCTTTTTTACCCATGATTAATTTATCAGTAACCGATTAACAATTAAACCAACTAATTAAAAACAATCAACCACAAGAAGTAACTAACCACATGCAAAGAACATCTGTTGATCGGATCCAAGAGAATCTAATCCGATATTTGGATCTGATACTTTTCTCATTTTCGAAATTTTTTTTTTAATTTCATTTAAAGTTTTAATTGTTTCGAAAATCTATTCCAGTAATTTTCGTTTAATTTTCTTTGGAACAATATTGGGTAAGACGATAAGAGTGTTTTTCAGCTCAACATATTCAATTTTCAGCTAATTTTTTTTTTCGTCTTGCAGTTCGGTTTGATTGTCTCAGGCCCTCCGGGCCTTTCTTTGGCCATAATGACCCTTAATAGTGAAGACCTAACCTAACCTAATTTAAAAAACCACAATCAATATAACAATTAAGTCCATTGCAATATGTAGCTGAACTTTAAGTCGAAAAAAAAAATTAGCTTTAAGTGAAAATGTCGAGCTGACAAACACTCGTATCGTTTTACCAAAAATTCAATATTGATCAGAAATTCTGATCCAGAAAGTTTTAAATCTCCATTAATTCTCATGGTTATTCAATCCAATAACCAAATAAATATCGCTCTAAATAGCTATAAATGTCAATGAAGCATTTTCTGTCTATTTTCCGATCAAAAATTGACCTTATAACCGATTAATCTTCCTTAAGTCATCTAACGATTAATATTATTCATCGTCTTCAAAATGCTCTCAACGATTCCTTCAATAGTAAAGAAAACGTTCATTAAACAGTAGCAAAGCTTTGGAATCGTTATCTGGATGCATTTCTACAGTTACAGATCTGGTTAGCAATCTAATGGGACTAAAATAATATCTTAAATTGTACTAATTACGATGTTAGAGTAGGAGGCAAGATAATTGAAACAATAACAAGAAGCTTCAATTAATGAAAGATTATCGGTACTTGATGATTTCAACGAATGGGTAAAAATGACTCAGACTGATTATATAAAAGCATACAAGAGCTAATGGAATTGATTCATCTTGAATTCATCATTCGTATTAAGTTAATCAACTCAACAACAATCAAAGTAAAATGAATTTTACTCATCTTGTTACCTCTCTTCTCATGGTGTTGATCGTCAACAACGGTCAATGTGCTTCTATTTTAGCTGCTAAGCCTGTTGATGATAAAGCCGATAGTTCAATCGTGCTAAATTATCATTATGTTGAAGATCGGGAAGATTTCGTTTTACTCAATTTAAACGCTACAGAAACTGGACCAAAACAAATAGAAGAGTGTAGTTTGTCACTGCAAAGTCAACGCGAAGTCAATGGTAAATTATACTGGAGCTCAGCTTTCGATTGTAAGTAATTTGCAGTGAAATCATTCAATAATTAATAACTTGAAAATGAGTTTGACGGTATTTTAAAATTATTTGCTCAGAAAGAGCGATAACAACAACTGATCAATGATAATCAAGAGATTCAAATTTAACTTTGATTTGATTGATAAATCATTTTTGCCTGAGCGAATGATATAAAACAACCGTCGAACTCATTTTCTCCGACTGTATTTTAATCTTGTATTAACATGTATCTTTCTATCCTTCTGTAGATTCTGTTATCCATAGTTCTCGACCTGAGTCCGAGAACAAGGTTGTTTTCAGTGTGTTGGTCAAAGATGTAAAACCGTTTCCGAATGTTCGATTCGCAGTTCGCTGTACGTACTCTGATGGTACAGCTCCTCAGACAAATTATCTAAACATCAACAAGAACTTGAGGGCTCAATAATGGACCAATTTTCGATACACGATTTACTATAATTATCTTATTGCCACGAATTAATTTCAATCGGCTGTATCAATAATGTCCATTTTCACATCTTTCCTTTGATGTTGATTTTATGAATTTGAAACAATAAAAAATTGAGGTTTAAGTTTGAGTTTGAGTTTGAATAAGAGGCTATTCGGAGTGCAATCTTTAATTTATGTGGTCACTTTTGCCGATCCAAAACTGAAATTTTTTTACTAGATTAATATTTTCGTCTACTCGTCCAGCTTATCCGACAATTAAAAGGGCATCGGTTTACCCTCAAAGTTGATGAAAGTTCCATCTGATTCTGGTGTTAGAGTGGAAATGTTTTTAATCATATTGGAAACGCTGAAATCGGGTTCATACATGGCATTGGGTCCACCAAGGTCAGTTTTACACCAACCAGGACAGAAGATTATACTTGTAACTCCGTCGGCCTTAAGGTGATCTCCATAGGTTCTGGTTAACATGTTCATTGCAGCCTAACAAATGGGAAACATCAAATATCAAATGATAAGTTTACTTGTTGCTAATCACAATTGATTCTTGACGTTTTCACAGTCAATTGTTCATCTCATGTGTCAAAAAATGGAAGCTAATGTAGCTTAATCTGTGCATTTTTGTCAACCTTATTTTCATTTTTAGTTAAGATTAAGCTACAACAAACACCTTAACTTGTTAAGTGCTCACCCTTTACATGGATTAATGATTGTATCATAATTACCTTGCTTGCTTTGTAAGCTGGAAAACCTCCTAGACGAGCATTAGTCCGAGTTATACTTCCAGCTCCTGATGAAATGGCAACGATTAACTTTCTCTGGGATTTTTTAATGAGAGGTGCTAATGATCTGGTTAACATGTATGGACCCACAGCATTGATTTCATAATTTTTCATGAATTCTTTCGGTGTCACCTTATCAACATCAGTTATTATCATGATTCCAGCATTGTTAATCAAAATATCCAAACCTTTATCACCGACAATCTTATCAACTTCAGTGACAAAAGCTTCATGAGAATCATAATCAACAACATCGAGTTTCAAAATGTGAACATTGTCATTTTTTTCAACGAGAGACTTTAAATTCTGTTGACAAAGAAAACATGAAAATGGAAATAAGCTTAAATTTTCAATGGAAATTCAAATTACAATTAACTTACGTCAGCCTCTTCTGGATTACGACAAGCGGCAATAATATGATCAATTCGTGGCTCAGCTGAAGCCAATTGACGGACAAATTCAAAACCAAGGCCTCGATTAGCACCAGTAACAAGAACAGTTGAAACTTCAAGCATTTTGATGACAATTAACCAACTAAATCAACTATAAAAACAGAATTAAAATTGATTCATTCATTTGTTAACAATTTACTCTCTTTTTATATCCTTGATTATGGTGAGTAGTAAAAGTACTGATAACAATTGGGAGTAATTAATGATTAACTAATTGTATCGCTAATCGAGATAAATAATTAATCTATGCAAAATCCTATGATGAAGTTTTCCTTTAATTAAAATGGAAATTGTAAAAGTTAATTCAGGTAAGAATCGATTTTAATTACAAGAGATCAGAAAGAGAGATTAAAGGCAAACGATTACCAATCATAAATTGAAACATTGTAATTGTAACAATTAGTGTAATCATTTTACAATAATGAAAAAAACAAAGTTGATTTATTGTAAGCGATGAAACTAATACGCACTAATTAACTAATTTCCAGATGAAGGGCAAAATAGTTATGATAATCATCATCAAGAATGAATGATTTAATTTGTTTACCAGGGAATTATTTTACCATCAAAGTTAATCATTTTACCATTTGAATTTTTATCAACGAGTGACAAAGTTTTCAACATTTTGGTGACACTTTGGTCAACAGCCATTGGAGCCTTTTTCCCACCCATGTCCGTCTTGACCCACCCTGGGTTTATGGAGACACAAAGGATTCCCTCTTTGGCCAGGTCGGTTGCGACACTTCGGGAGATCATGTTTAAGGCCACTTTACTTGCACGGTAAGGGTACATTCCGCCCTGATTGTTTTGCTCGATACTTGCTACCGTTGTTCCCATGTTGACAATTAATTTGGTCGATCCTTCATCTTTACCTGATGATTTGAGTAAAGGTAAAAATGTCTTCGTGAGCAGCAAGGGTGCGACTGTATTAACCTCGTAGCTTTCCAACATATCAGTGGGAGTAACTTGATTAAGAGTTTTAAATTGTGCAATTCCTGCATTGTTGATCAATAAATCCAATCCATTTGAGCCGACAATTGAGTTGACCTGAGAATAAAATTTATCGTAATTGGGAAAATCTCTAACATCAAGTTGAACAATATGAAGATTAGTTGAAGATGATTTGAGTTTCCTTAATTCCTGGAGAGAGAGAGAGCAAAATAACAAAACAAAACAAAACAATCAGATTAAATTATCTTAAGGAAATTTTCAGGATTAAAAATCAAGGCTAAATTTAGAAATGAAAATTGAACAATTATCATAATTACCTCGGCTTTATCGGGATTACGACAAGTAGCAATAACATTTATTGGCTTTGGATTAAGATTAATTATCTGTCTAACAAATTCCAGACCAATACCACGATTAGCGCCAGTAATTAAACAACATGTAGTTCGTAACATAATTGATCTCCACAAATTGACTTAATTGGTCACACTGAATAAAGAATTGATTAGATAGAAAAGGAAATGAACAAAGATTACAAAAATTAGAATGAAAAAAGATGATGAAATGTCCTTAGTCTAAACTTGAAGAAAAAAGCAAAATACAATCAGCTGATCTGCTTTGATAGTATTTAGGTTGATGAAATGATGAGTTAATATACAACGTGGATAATGTCAATCAGGAGATTAATTGATTGTGCTGATAGATTGATGAGGTACAGTGATTACCACAATTAAGAAATGAGTGGTAAATTGTTTGTGTATCTTTCAAGTGTCTAAATTGAATCAAGCAACAATAAACAACTTCGAGGGTTGAATGTTAGAAACATTTTTTTTTCTTTGGCGGGAGTTATGATGATATTGGAATGAAACAATTTGTTGATTCTAATTTTGTTTCCTTCTTTCTTGTTCGTTTAAATTAGTTTAACATTACTGATTGTTTTCCTGTGATGGACAATTGGATTATTAAAACTGGCTACTGCTTTAACTTTTCCTTTGAATGTTTTCTTGACACAAATATTTTCACTGGTTGAATCGATTGTCAGAAATTCAATTGTCTGAACTTCCCCATGGTAAAAACCTTTTGAATAAATACTTGAAACATTATACGAAATCAGGATAACATGGAGACTTAATTTTCGTCTAATTAGAAATTGCATTAAATCAGCTATGTAAACATCATCACAATAGATTATGACCAATTTAAGATGGACATTAAGAGCTGCTTGTTCTGAGAAATAGCGATAAATTGTAACTGTCAAGAGAAAAGAAAAGAAAAGAAAATGATTAAATTATAAGAAAGAATTTGATTAACTTAATTAACTGATGAATATCTTTTTACTTTGGAAAGATTAATTGTTTGGGGTAATGAAGATAATTAGTAACTATTATTGACTTGATTTGCTCCCAATTTGCACTTTACTCACACCTAGTGAATAATTTCACTGGTATAGATCAACAATTAACTGAATTAATCATTTTTCCACTGGAAAATCAAATCATTTGGAAAGTTATTTATATCTCTTGGAATTAAAAACAATACCTACCTAATAAATTGAAAGGATCAGCCTCATGAACTATTGATATATTATCCATGATACTATCATCTGGTAGTAGAGTTTTAAATTGAATGTAATTGAAACAATTAAGACCATCAAATATGATCAATGAGTGTTTACTTTTAGATTGAGTTAAAGCTTGTATTTGTCTAGGATTTTCTTGTGATACTTTACAAGCCTCAACACAGAGACGGTAAATGTAACTATTGATATCGCAAGATTTGTTGGTGGAAAAATCAATCAGATAAAGTCCAAATTTATCAACAATCTGATCTAATTGTAAATTGATTCCATTATCGGTTCCATGGTTTA